CCCCCCCCCGAGCTCGCTGCACTGGTTCTACCAGCAAACACACCCCAGCTGGCCAGCGAATCGGTTCAACTCCCTGCTTGGTGCCCTAACCGCCAACTCCCCCGGCCAATCAGCCCTCGCCCCGTTACTTAGTTCCCTTGCTGTTAGCCAATCAGCTCTCGGTCTCTTTCTCCTCTACCCAATCCACTCCTGGGTGCCCTCGCCCTCGCCCAATGGCGGGGGGGCCGGGGCAATAAAGCTGCACGCTGACGCCTCGTTTTGGGTAAACAGTGTCAAGGTCAGAGCACGTCGTTGGCTGCAGCCGTAAATCTTTATTGCATCCCCCTTCCTAGGCCCTGCCAGAAACGGAACTTTCCATAACCCATCCCTTTATGGTGGGCCGCTAATGATTAACTCCGCTGGTGCTGGAGCGCCCCGGGCAGGGGGAAGGGAGATACGGTAAAGGAGGGGGTGGCTCATGCACAAAATATAGGCATCCGTCTCTCTTCCAGGGCACAAGCTGCATCAGGCAGGAGGGGGGTTGCTCTGTCTTTGGGGAGACCACGCCCCACCATTCAGTGCCCCTTAGAGCGGAGTAGGTGAAATCTCTGCGCCGCTCCCCCTGCAACCTAAAACGCTAAGTAGGCCGCGGTCATCTGAGGGAGTTATTCCTCGGGCCCCTTCCCCTCCGCGTTCACAGCCCTCTTCCAGCACACCAGCCGGCGGGCTTGGCCCTGGTGCACCTCCCACCGGTGCCTGGAGCCTGTGATTTCAAGCGGATGCTGTCCTCCAGCCGGCCATGAGGCAGGGGTCACACTGCAGGGAGCCCAGTCCACGTCACAGGGAGGAGGCAGGCGCTGGCTGGGCAGCGACTATGCAGGAAGCAGCCATGGTGTGCACAGCGACAGCTCACCTAGAGCCGGGGGACTCCTGACAAGAACACCGGGTCTGCCTCAGCGCAGACAGGACAGTGCCAATGTCTGTAGTTCCCTCTGGGAGGCCCATCAATGCAGAAAGGAGATGATTGAATTCGTATTTCAATGTAATGCTATCTTATCCCCGCTTGTGTCCGTTGCCCCAGCATCCCGCAGCCCCAGACACAGAGCAGGACCCCGGTGCACGGGGTGCTGTACAAACCCAGAACAAAACAACGGTCCCTGCCCCAAAGAGCCAACAGTCTAAGCCAGGGGTCGGCAACCTTTGAGAAGTGGCGTGCCAAGTCTTCATTAATGTAAGGTTTCACGTGCCAGTAATAAATTTTACATTTACAGGGGCCCCCAACAGAACCCTAGACTGGCAGCGGCCTGAGCGGGCCCGCAGCCAGGACCCCGGCTGGCAGGGGGCCGGATGGCTGGAACCCCAGACCTGCAGAGAGGTGAGCAGGGCCGGCGGCTGGTATCCCAGGCCGTTAGCAGGCTGAGCGAGGCCAATGGCCGGGACCCTGGCTGGCAAGGGGCTGGCGGACAGAACCCCAGACCGGCAGCGAGGTGAGCGTGGCCGGCGGCTGGTATCCCAGGCCATTAGCAGGCTGAGCGGGGCTAATGGCCGGCACCCAGGCTGGCAAGGGGCTGGCGGTCGGAACCCCAGACCGGCAGCGAGGTGAGCGTGGCCGGAGGCTGGTATCCCAGGCCGTTAGCAGGCTGAGCGGGGCTAATGGCCGGGACCCAGGCTGGCAAGGGGCTGGCGGTCGGAACCCCAGACCGTCAGCAGGCTGAGCAGGGTGGCGGACAGAACCCCAGACCGGCAGCGAGGTGAGCGTGGCCGGCGGCTGGTATCCCAGGCCGTTAGCAGGCTGAGCGGGGCTAATGGCCGGCACCCAGGCTGGCAAGGGGCTGGCGGTCGGAACCCCAGACCGTCAGCAGGCTGAGCAGGGTGGCGGACAGAACCCCAGACCGGCAGTGGCTCACCCGCCTCCGGTCTGGGGTTCCGTCCGCCGGCTCCTGCCAGCCGGGGTCCCGGCCGCCGGCCCCACTCAGCCACTGCCGGCCAGGCGTTCCATTCAGTCAGGCCAGCAGCGGGCTGAGTGGGGCCGGCAGCCGGGAGCCCACCTGGCAGCAGCGTGCCAGTAAAAATTGGCAGGTTGCCGACCCCTGGTCTAAGCAAATGTCCAGCTCTCTTTGGAAGAACAGCATCGCTAGTCTCACAGCGCCCTCTGTTACTGCATTGCCTTGGGCCTGAGCCCAGAATCCACGCATTGCTAGGCCAGGTTGCCAGCAACTGTGTCACACATGCAGCTGGCTAGGACGCATCCATTTCCTTTGCCCGAGATGCTGCAGATTTGCCATGTGCCATGAAGCAATCCGTGTGAACGCAGCCTGGTTCTCTAGCTGCCACAGGCAAAGGAAGGCCGGGGGAGCAGGAGTGATCGTGGTATTGTTGGAGCAGAGCATAGACAGCGAGGATACCAGCTGTCTGAATGGAGAGGAAATGGGAGAAATACCAACCAGAGCCACACCGGAGCTAAAGCTATTTTAGTCTCCAGGGCTGGGAGCTGCATGCTGGGGACCTGATCCTGGGAGGGGCTGAACCCCCTCAAATCCCAGTCAGCTCAGTGGCAATTCATAGATTTCTAGAGTTTAAGGCCAGAAAGGACCAAGCTTGTGCCTAGATTGCCAGCACCTCTGGGCAGGGCCCGTCTTTTTGTTCTGTGTTGTACAGCGCCTAGCGCAACGGGGTCCTGATCTTTGACTGGAGCTCTTAGGTCTTTTGGTAACCTAAATAATGAGAATTAGCTCATGTAGCCTGGCCTCCTGTATATCCACAGGATAGAATTTCACCCAGTTTCCCCAGTGTTGAGCCCCACAACTTGTGTCTGACCAAAGCCTACCTAGCTAGCTTGGGGCTCTGTTCTGGCACCCAACTCTGCCCCTCTCCGGCTCGGTGTCTGAGCTGCAGCAGCCGTGCCGGGATTAGGCAGGGAGGGGAAGGGAAGACCCTCACTGCTGGGGCCCCTCAGTCTCTGGGCACGGAGAGGACGATTGTGAAAGTGAGTCAGATGGAATAAGTGTGGAAGGCTAGACGCACGAGGAAAGCAAATGGTGACCCAGTGGAAAGTGGGGCAGGGTGGCCCTGACACTGAGCCACCCTCCCCTGAGTTGCTCGCTCTGGGCACCAGGTGCTGACTGTTGCTGGAGGGGCGGAGAAAGCAGCGCGGGACATCGGGGTGCTCTGGGGTAGAACAGTTCCCAGCTGTCCTCAATATGGCATTCCGCATTCACTGGGGCAGGCAGAGGGAGCTGTTAGACAGGACAGCAAGAGCCATTCGAGCCCTTCCCTGGGCTCTGAGCTGAGGGAGATGGCATATTGGCAGGGGAAACAATTAGCAGCGTCACCTCCATTAGGCACCAGTCATAAAGGGGAAAAGCAGTGCTCCGAGTGGGGAATAGCTGCGTCTCTCTCGAGTGCCCACTATTAACCCAGCCTCGTGCGCACACGCAGGATGAGCAGCCGGCCAGCGCGGGAATGTCTCGCTCCCAACCGCTCGGGTCTCCATCGCTGCCAGCCGCAGGTGCTGGGATACCTGGGACTCCAGAGGGAGGAAAGAGCTTTATTTCATCGTAACAGTATTTACACTCATTGTCCCCGTCCCCCTGTGTGCGCACCCATGGCCATGGCCACGCCAGTACATGTTCACTGTGGCACTGAGGAAGGGAGCGGCATGTGGGAGATGCAGAAGGGACCCCAGGAGATGCCGGGGTCAGTTATATGCTGTCCCTGGGCAGCGCACGGGTGGGTGGCCGGGAGAGGGTTGTGTGTCTCTTCCCAGTCTTCAGCGCAGAAAGGAACTGAGATGAGAGAGGACTGCAGGGCAGGCCCGGCCTCGCTGAGGAAGGGCCACCATCCTGCTCCTTGGTTCACAGGACTCTCTGCTGGCATCCTGGGAGCGGGCTGTTGTGTGTGGGCAAAAGATGGCACAGCCATTCAGAGAGCACTTTCCCTTTCTGGGCTGGCTCCCCAGCCAGGAGCCTGGATTGCAGGGGTTGCTTCTTGTGTATTTATCTTCTTCAGGGCAAAGATCCCAGGCGGGAAGTCTGCAGGGCTTTGGTCAGCATGGCCACTGCACGTCCAGTGGGGCAGAGTAGCTGCCCACAACATGGTGACTTGTAAGGCCACCAGTGCTAGAGATTGCATTTAGCACTAAGCACATGGTACCACAAAACTTTGTTTACCCATGAAAGCCATCTACAATCAAACCCAATCCAGTCCAGGATAAACCTCGGGAACACACAGCCCTTCAAACCCCAGTCCAGATTGCCCTGGCTTCCAGGGGATGCAGTAGCCCTCAGGAAGTGGGGAGGTTCAATTTGGATACACACAGGGAGCTGAGCTATTGGAGCTGGAGACAGGCTCAAACCATAAAATCCAGGTCCAGACGGAGACTTTAAGCCCATGTGGGGGTCGTTGGAACCTGGGGCTCGGCTGAGCCCACTGTAACGATAAAGGGCCATTTGCAAAATTCAGCCCTGGGTTCAGAGGTGTTTGGGGCCAGGATTTGGCCCTGCTCCGTCTTGAATACAGTCATGGAAATCAGGGTGTCGAGGAAGAAGTCCAGCTTTGCGAGCTTCCCAGCTAGAAGAACCCCCAAGCACAACCTTACTGGTGGTACATTGGTGTGTCTGCTTCTGGTCTCTAAGGGTGTGTCTCCCATGGGTTTTTCATCCTTGTGTAGACGTACTCAGCATCTACACAACTGGCTGTGCAGAGGATAATGAATATGAAAAACAGCAACCCAAGACCCTCCATGGGGTAGCTCTCTGGGTGGTTTTGGGAGATGATGCACTGGGCTCCCTGGCCTCTAGGAAGGAACCGGTAGGTTTGGAGCCTGTGTTCGGGTTTGAGCTCAGGTTAAGGGAGAAGTTTGGGCCCTTTGATGCTGTGTCTGAAACACTGCTCAGCTCGAAGTGGAAATAACCCTCCTCCCCCACAAGGTGGCGTCTAGCCACTACACAACTGGTGCGTTAATAACGCAAGAGCGAGTGAGCTGGGGAGCCGCCCGGAACCAGCCCATTTGAAGCCCAGTGTGCAGTGAAAACAGCACGCACAGAAGGGTGGATCTTCATTTGTTTGCAATGTTACACCAACGACACACGCACACTTGAGAACACACATCACAGCAGGCGAACACGGGGTACATTACAAACCACCACGGGGGCAGCTTAGGTATTGAACTGCTGCTCCTTAAAAGAGGATGCCCTGCACCCTCCAAACACAACAGCACCGGCAGGAGCTGAGCTGCTGACGCACAGACGCACAAACGCACAGCAGCTGCCAGGACCCTGCGGGGCGGGCTTTCAAAGTTGGAAATCACATGACCCAGAATCATTGACGCCCTGGCTACGCTGGAGCAGGACGGGCGAAGTCTGGCGCAGAGAGACGTACCCACGCTGGCTCTGATCAAGCTAGTGCGCTCACAGCATTACGTACCCGCAGCAGCGGGAAGGCCTAGCAGCCTCAAGTACAAACCCGGGGGAGGCCCTCGGCACCTACTGGGGGGCAGCTACCCCCTCCCACCGCAGCTCATTGCTGTTTTTAGGGCACAAGCTCTGATTGCGCTGACATGGGATTGCAGCCCCAGCTCGAGTGCGGATATCCCCGCACTGCACCGTGGACCTGGGCTTGTGGACTCAGTGTTTCCAAGCCTGCACTTGAGCGTCCACACTGCATTGTAAACCTGGGTTCACAGCTGCTGGACTCGGGTCTCACAGCCATGCAAATGCTTCCATGCTGCACTACGCAGACCTTCTGACTTGGGTCTGCGGCTTGACCTGCAGCCACGCTGCAAATTGCCAGGGCTTGGACCCACGTCACAGCAGATCGCAGACTCTGACCCACTCCCCTTGCAGGGTTCTAGGATCCAGGTCAGACTGATTTGTGTGTGGACAGAAGTGGGACTTGGGCTCAAACCTGAGTCAGAGCCCAGCCTTAGGTTATGTCTACACAGCAAAGAGCCTAGGTCAACTGATGCAGGGTTCAAGCTGTGGGCTAAACATAGCAGTGTAGATGCTCAGGCTTGGGCTGGAACCTGGGCTGTGAAACCTGGCAGCAGGTGAGGGTCTCATATCCCAGGCTTCAGCCCGAACCCGAAAGTCTACACTGCTCTTTTGAGCTCGGAGACTCGCTGCCACAGACTGATTGATTGATTTTTGCTGTGTAGATGTACCCACAGTGCACAGGTAGACATACCCTCAGACTGCTGGGGGAGGAAGGTGTGGAGAACTGTGTGTAGCATAGGGTGAGCAGAAGACCTGATTTTATAGGGACAGTCCCGATATTCGGGGCTTTGTTTTATGTAGGTGCCTGTCACCCTCCACCCCCATCCCGATTTTTCACACTTGCTATCTGGTCATCCTGGTGTAGAAATTGTAACAGGCCATGTGGGGAGAGGACTTCCTAGAGACTTTGACAAGTCAGTACATTCCTGGAACTTTACTCCATGTCATGCAAGCAATGACTGCCAGTCCAGGATTTTCCTATTACCATGTGAGATAAGGGGCACCCTCCCCCCAAACTTCAATAACAGGGACTACAAGGGAAGGTGATCCCTGCCCCCCTTGAGTGGACTCTGGCACTGGAGGAGAAGAAGTGAGACTGGATTTCTGTCCCTGCCTGGAGAAGACTCTGGAGGCAGCCCCTCAGCATGGGGTCTCTGTGCCCAGCGAGTGGGATCTTACAAAGAGCCCATGCAGAGAGGTTTCTTCCATTCCTTTCTGTGAAGTTATTTTAGTAACACTTCCAATAGCTCCTCATTCATAATTCACGGGCTAGTCAGCGCAGCACAGGCCCTGCAGCACAATGGACCACCGGTGCCAGAGAGCACGTGGCTGGTCCTGCTGCAGCCTTCACTCGGCGAGTCGGCCGACCCCTTCGCATTGCAAACGTGGAAAAAACACACGTCAAGTGTCCCCCCCCGCCCCCCGGCCTGCACTCTGCTCCCAGGGCGTGTGACTGGGGGGGCACTGCTGAGATTAGACATCGCCCCCTCCCAGCCCCCACTCTGCTCCACCCTGGGCGGGAATAGGGGAGGGACAGCCACAGCCAGAGGCTCTGCCCCACCATCAGCTGCAGTCCACGGAGGGGTTAACGTGACGCAGCCTCACCCCGAGGTTCTGAATTCAGCTGTGTGAGCAGGGGCCCAGAGTGCAAACGGCACCTCTTAAGAGCAACCTGCAAAGGACTGATTCATCCCAGGACCAGGGTTTACCTTTCTCTGTCGTGCACAGAAAGGCCTGTCCAGGGGCGGGTTGGTTTGTTTTATAACATGGGGTTTCTTTTCCCTAGACTTATTTATCAGGAATGGCCACTCTGGTCTTCCCTGGTGTTGCTGGAGGCTCCCAGTAGGGGCAGGACACACGGGCACCATGAGGACCTGGTGTTGCTGGAGGACCCCAGCAGGGGTGGGACACACAGGCACTCCACTGACAGGGTGGGGTTAACAAAGACATCCTTTCTCCACAACGTCCGTGCGTCATTGGAGTTAAACAGGCTTAGCAACAACAAACACCACCAACAACTACTAGCCTTGTTCTCCACTGCCTTGCTCACTGATGCCTGTGCAAAAGGAGCGCAAAGTGGGTGCATGTCGCAGTCTTTACACAGGGGTCAATGAGTCATAACTCTGGGCAGAGGGCACCCAGGCAGGGTGGGGCGGGCCTGGAGCAGGGTAGGGTCCGGGCAGCTGGTCCCAGACACTGGAGAGCTAACACACACATTCATTACACAGCTTGCCACACTGAACAAAAATCTCAGCAACACTGGAATTCTCAGCAGCGTTCTCCTGGAGAGGCCAGAGCATCCTGTGGGATGCTGGAAGGTCAGCAGCTCGCAGCTGCCTCTAGAAAGGCCTGTTAACTGGCCCGAAGTGCCTAAGTGCAACTGAGCAAGTTCAGGGGTGCAGTCCCCCATTCTCTGCTCCCCACCGGGTTCGTGGCCTCCTCACATCATAGACTCCTCTTCCTCCTCGATCTCCCTGTCCACCTCGATGGCTGTGTTCTCATAGCTGGTGATTCCCCCATATTTCCTCATGTGGACCATCAAGGGTTTGGGGGACTGGCTACCGGCCAGGGTAGCCACGTACATGCCGGTTCTGTTCTCCTCCAGAGAAGGGCCCCAGTCCATGGCTGGCCGGCTGGCTTGCTGGATTCTCTGTGGTTGAAATCAGGAGATGAACAGCAGTATTACAGAAGCACCTGCTAGGCACTAAGGCTCAGTACTGGTGACAGATCACCAGGCGAGCGCTTCAGACAATGCCCCAGCATCCAATGCTTTGGACTAGACTCACTCCATAGCTACTGTCAGGGTATCAGAACCAACGGGGACTCTAATCCCATGGGGCACCAGACCATCTCCAGCCAGCCCACTGGGGGTACTGTAATCACATGGGGCACCAGACCATCTCCAGCCAGCCCATAGGGGGCACTGTAATCACATGGGGCCCCAGACCATCTCTAGCCAGCCCATAGGGGGCGCTGTAATCCCATGGGGCACCAGACCATCTCTAGCCAGCCCATAGGGGGCACTGTAATCACATGGGACACCAGACCATCTCTAGCCAGCCCATAGGGGGCGCTGTAATCACATGGGGCACCAGACCATCTCTAGCCAGCCCATAGGGGGCACTGTAATCACATGGGACACCAGACCATCTCTAGCCAGCCCATAGGGGGCGCTGTAATCCCATGGGGCACCAGACCATCTCTAGCCAGCCCATAGGGGGCACTGTAATCACATGGGACACCAGACCATCTCCAGCCAGCCCATAGGGGGCACTGTAATCACATGGGACACCACACCATCTCTAGCCAGCCCATAGGGGGCACTATAATCACATGGGACACCAGACCATCTCTAGCCAGCCCATAGGGGGCACTGTAATCACATGGGGCACCAGACCATCTCCAGCCAGCCCATAGGGGGCACTGTAATCACATGGGGCACCAGACCATCCCTAGCCAGCCCACTGGGGGCACTGTAATCACATGGGGCCCCAGACCATCCCTAGCCAGCCCATAGGGGGCGCTGTAATCACATGGGGCACCAGACCATCTCTAGCCAGCCCACTGGGGGTACTGTAATCACATGGGGCACCAGACCATCTCTAGCCAGCCCATAAGGGGCGCTGTAATCACATGGGGCCCCAGACCATCTCTAGCCAGCCCACTGGGGGCACTGTAATCACATGGGGCACCAGACCATCTCCAGCCAGCCCATAGGGGGCACTGTAATCACATGGGGCACCAGACCATCTCCAGCCAGCCCATAGGGGGCACTGTAATCACATGGGACACCAGACCATCCCTAGCCAGCCTACAGGGGGCACTGTAATCACATGGGGCACCAGACCATCCCTAGCCAGCCCATAGGGAGCGCTGTAATCACATGGGGCACCAGACCATCTCTAGCCAGCCCATAAGGGGGCTGTAATCACATGGGGCACCAGACCATCTCTAGCAAGTCCACTGGGGGCACTGTAATCACATGGGACACCAGACCATCTCTAGCCAGCCCACTGGAGGCACTGTAATCACATGGGGCACCAGACCATCCCTAGCCAGCCCATAGGGGGCACTGTAATCACATGGGACACCAGACCATCTCTAGCCAGCCCACTGGGGGCACTGTAATCACATGGGGCCCCAGACCATCTCTAGCCAGCCCATAGGGGGCACTGTAATCACATGGGGCACCAGACCATCTCTAGCCAGCCCATAGGGGGCACTGTAATCACATGGGGCACCAGACCATCTCTAGCCAGCCCATAGGGGCGCTGTAATCACATGGGGCACCAGACCATCTCCAGCCAGCCCATAGGGGGCACTGTAATCACATGGGACACCAGACCATCCCTAGCCAGCCTACAGGGGGCACTGTAATCACATGGGGCACCAGACCATCCCTAGCCAGCCCATAGGGAGCGCTGTAATCACATGGGGCACCAGACCATCTCTAGCCAGCCCATAAGGGGCGCTGTAATCACATGGGGCACCAGACCATCTCTAGCCAGTCCACTGGGGGCACTGTAATCACATGGGACACCAGACCATCTCTAGCCAGTCCACTGGGGGCACTGTAATCACATGGGGCACCAGACCATCCCTAGCCAGCCCATAGGGGGCACTGTAATCACATGGGACACCAGACCATCTCTAGCCAGCCCACTGGGGGCACTGTAATCACATGGGGCCCCAGACCATCTCTAGCCAGCCCATAGGGGGCACTGTAATCACATGGGGCACCAGACCATCTCTAGCCAGCCCATAGGGGGCGCTGTAATCACATGGGGCACCAGACCATCTCTAGCCAGCCCATAGGGGGCGCTGTAATCACATGGGGCACCAGACCATCTCTAGCCAGCCCATAGGGGGCGCTGTAATCACATGGGGCACCAGACCATCTCTAACCAGCCTGCAGGGGGTACTGTAATTACACGGGGCACCTGTCCAGACCATCTCTAGCCAGCCTACAGGGGGTACTGTAATCACATGGGGCACCTGTCCAGACCATCTCTAGCAGTCCATAGGGGGCGCTGTAATTGAGTCTGAATGGAGCAATTGAAGCTCTAAAGGTGCCCCAGCCAGCACTTGTGTGTGGACAAGGATTTGCTGCTGCTCTGAGCCCTGTTCCCCGTGGCTGGGCCTCTCCTTGGACCGGTGCAGCACTAACCCGGCACGGCCGTTTCTGTGTAACCTGGCCTGGAGGATGGTGAAATTGCCAGGGAACGCTAGTGCCATCTGCATCGGTGCCCTGCACCGTTGCTAGACGCTGGGAGACTCCCTGGGCGCAGTCAGGCCTAAGGCCGCCTGCGGAGATTCCCCAGGGACAGAAGAAAAAGGGAATGTCGTCCCTGTATTGAAGCATTCCCAGTGCAGTGAATGATGCTGCGTGCCAGGAGCCAGCGGACTCAGGCCCTGCTGCCTGGGGCTGCTGTGTGTTTGGATTAATGCATCGGGCACTTTGCTCACTGCTCTTTGGCCCTCCCAGGGGTAAAGGCACTCCCAGGAGCCATGTGATCAGCACCCACACAGGCCGCCTGTCTGCCCAAGTCCTGCAGCAGTGGCCCGAGGGGGAGGACGGAGGGGGGGGACTCCCTCTCGCTCCAGACCTGCATCTCAAAGGGCTGCTCAGCTGGGCAGCTCAGGGGTCTGAGCTGCTGCACTCTTCCTGTCAGGTTGTGACCTGATGCACCTGAGGACTAATCAGCAGGGTGAAAGGCTTTGGGGGCAGAAGCACTGGGCAGGGGGTACAAGGAGGAGGAGGGGCTTCCCCCTGAGAAGCAGCTTCCCACTATTCTCCTCACATCTGTGTGATGAGAGCAGCAGGGCTCAGGGGACACCAGTCCAGTGCAGGAAAATCACCACCCACCAGAACTGCCATTGCTTTGATGAGTAATCACCAGCTCGCAGCTGCAAGCCACCAGCAGAAACCTCTGCTTGCACCAGAAGAGGAGGGGCCACTCAGGCACAGAGGGAAGAGATTGGCTGAACCACCCTTCCATTAAGGACTGGAGAGGTGGGGACAGCCTTGTCCCAAGGCATGATGGGAAGGCAGCTCAGTATAAAACCCCCAGCAGTGGTCTAGCAAGCTAGCTAGTGGAGTTGTTTATGGTGTATGGGGAAAGGGGTGGGTGGGTCTGAATTAAGTGGCTGTATTTGTTATGATTTGTCCTAGGTGCTGTGGCTTTGCTATGCAGTAAGTAGGGACTGATAGGGAGTTTCCTTTATTTTATTAGTCTGTATTAGAGATTGGGCCAAAGCAAGAACCCAGCTTCATCCCTCTCCTGTGGCCAAAGCAGTAGAGAAGCCTGGATCTGGGTGCAGCTTTGCCACTTGAACCCTCTCAGTTGCGTGTTTTTCCTTTGTCAGGGAATGAGGAAATTCACTGAAAGAATCAGACCTCCCAAGGCCACTTACATGCTGCTATTTTGGGAGTCAGCTTGGTCATTTAACCTCAAGAAAGCAGGTGTCTGCCTCTCTTTGCAATGGCCTCTGGGAGCCCGGCTGGGCTTCACGCTGGTATAGGGCACAAGTGAACTAGTGTCCTGAGCTCTAATCCTACTCCCTAGGGGGTGTTTGTTGCCCAAAGCCTGTGGGCAGGCAGGAAGGGTGTGGGCTTCTGGGGTGTGTTAATGGAGTCAGAAAGGCTGTTGCTATGGCTCAGTGTTATCTACAACAAGAATGTAGCTCCTGTCAAGAGGGAGGGAGAACGCTGCGAAATGTACACCGCAATAGCAGAATCTTCAGAGCACTGGCCAGAAACAGCTGACTTGACTGACCCAAGCTACTGCCAAACCTGGCTACCTGAGCCCATCCCAAATGCAGCCGTGGCCCAATGTGCTCAGAGAGGTTGCTTTTGGGGCAATAGTGAGCCACAAGGGGTAATGGTTATCTGACACAGCAGAGCTGTAAGCACGGACCCATTAAGGCTCAGCATTTGGACAGTTGTGGGGAAGCCTCTCACCTGACTGAGTTAGGCATTTGTTATTTCTGTCTCTTCCCCTTTTGTTGTTCATCACCATATGATGCTAAAGACCAGGGCGAAGTACTACGCTCAGGAAGGAAAAATCAAATGCACAGCTCCAAAGTGGGGAATAGCTGGCTAGGCAGCAGTGCTGCTGAAAAGGATCTGGGGGTTATAGTGGGTCACAAACTGCATATGTCAACTGTACAATGCGGTGGCAAAAAAGGCAAATGTCCCTCAGGGCTGTATTAACAGCAGTGTCCTAGGTAAGACCGGGGAGGTAATTGTCCCACCCTGTGTGACACTGGTAAGGCCTCAGCTGCAGGACTGCATCCACTTTTGGGTGTCACGCTTGAAAAATGATGTGAACAAATTGGAGAGAGTCCAGAGGAGAGCAACAAAAATTAGATGTTTAGCAAACCCTGATCTATGAAGAAAGGTTGAATGTGTTTAGTCTTGAGAAGAGAAGGCTGCAGGGGCATGTAACAGTCTTCACATTTATAAATGGTGGTTCTGTAGAGGACGGTGATCAATTGTTCTTTATGTCCACCAAGGGTTGAACAATAAGCAATCAGCTTAGTTTGCAGCAAGGGAGATTTAGGTTAGATCTTAGGAAAAGCTTTCTAGCTACAAGGACAGTTAAGCACTGGAAGAGGTTACCTAGGGAGGTTGTGGAATCTCCACCATCAGAGGTTTTTAAGAACAGGCTGGACAAACACTTGTCAAGGATGGTCTAGGTTTACTTGGTCCTGCCTCATCCCAGTGGGATGGACTAGATCTCTTGAGGTCCCTTCCAGCCTATGTCTCTATGATCCTGTAACTCAGGGAAGTTCTAGGATGAGAACAGAGAGGCTTGAGAGAGCTGTATATGGAAATCTGTAGCACCTCTTTAGCTGTAGCCTCTGCCATCAGAACTTCACTTTCCTGAGGCAAATCCACTGATTTACACTGGTTTAACCGCATAGCCTGCTATATTAATGTCACAAAACGCACCAAGAGGTGCGAACACACATGGGTCTGTGGCCTGCTGTCTGCTGTGCAGCATGCACTAGGAATCCACCTACAGCTATCCCCAGGTACGCCCCAGTGCATCCATCCCCCCTCCCTGCACGTGGGCTGCATTCGGAATCTGTGCACAGGCTCCGTCCACGTGTGAGCCACGAATAGTGATATCACCATGTGTTGCCATAGGGCCTGGCAAAGAAGTGAGGCGGGGCCTGTTTCCTCTCTGGATTATCATTCCCGTTCTACATCCCAAATAAGCATGACTTTGTGATGTCCCATGCAAACCACTAGAGGGTGCCACACACCATTGTAAATTCACGGGAATAAGCTGTCCTGTACACCAATTCTCAGGATTCGTGGACAGGGAGGGTGGGATGGGAACCCGTGCTTCTGAAGTGAGGCCTTTGTCCTTGCTGGGGCAGATGCATTAAATCCATTCTGCAAAGGTTAGACAATATGGGTATGCTGGGGCCCTCAACTCCGGACCAGGCAGAGCTTGTGAGGGAGCTAACAGGGTGAGCCTGGAGAGCGGAAGGATTGCCCTAGACAGGCTGCAGTGACAAGCCACAGGCTGAGCAGGCCGTGAGGTAGCCCAGTCTGACATGATGCTCAATTCTCAGCCCTCACACCTGGGAACAGCCCCAGGAGCCGGCCCCCTTTGACCTATGGCTAGAACGAAGACTGCAAAATGAGCAGGAAGGGGGTTGTCTTTTACCCAGCATGAACCAAAGAGCAAGATTTCATGGCACAGAAAACCAGTATCTAGCAGTGGGGAGAGCTGGGGAACGCAGCCAAGGGAAGAAACGCCCTGGAGGGGTAGAGTCCCCTCCCTTTTTACAGGCTGCCGCCCACGTCCATCTGCCACTTACCTCCCACAGCGTCCCTTCTTCTCTGAGCACCGCGACCACCATCCCTGCGGGGATCATCAGGCAGGAGAACAGCCCCATCAGGATGCCCAGGACCTCAGCCCAGTATGGGAAACGGTAACTCCCATACTCTGAGGGCTGGTACTTGACTATATTGTACACCAGCAGGGCCTGCAACACAGGGAGAGAGTCAAAGGGATGAGTCCTTCCTGGGGCTGTGTGACACAAGGACCCCTCAGTGCCAGCTGGCCAGAGGGTTACAGGAATGACCTGATTCTGGGATGCACATTCTGGTTCACCAACATCATGTGAGCTCTCAAATGAAAGCCAGGGTCACACCAGTCACTAATCTCTTTGTGAACTGTATGTACAGGTGCTATGCAAGGAGTTATGTGTACACACAACACGGTCAATACATTCTTATTTTGTATCACAGCAGAGGTGGAGAACCAGGTTTTCTGCCAGATGAGGTGTTTATTCACCTGTCCCTCTGTTGGCTAGACAAGATGGGTGAGGGAATATCTTTTATTGGACCAACTTTTACTGGTGAGAGAGACAAGCTTTGAAGCTACACAGAGCTCTTCTTCAGGTCTGGGGAAAGGGTGTCACAGCTAAATACAAGTCAAACAAAGAGTTTAGCATAAGTAGTTAGCACATATTCTAAGGGCCCATTCAAGGTGAAGTGGCCCATTTACACCTCTGCAGTCATAGGACAAAAAGGGGGAGGGGGCTAGTGGGTTGCAGATTGTTTTAATAAACCACAAATCCAGTGTCGCTCTTCAGTCCATGACTTGTAGTGTCTAGCGGAGTTGTGAATTTAAGCTCCCAGGCTCGTATTTTGGAAGTGTTGGGCAGGTTTCTTTGGAGGCTGAGGACTGAGAGGTCAGATAGAGAGTGATCGCTGTCAGAAAAGTGTTCTCCCACAGACAACAGGGTGGTTTTGTCTTTTATCATTTTCCTGTGTGAGTTCATTCAAGAGCATAGCGATTGACTGGTTTCCCCTACTTAGGTGCTGGGGCATTTAGTGGGCTGTTGTGATAGGCATATGTGGGGACCCATGGATCTTGACGGGTGTGTTGCGGAGATATGTCTGCAGGTCTGATCTCTGTAGGATGTGAATTAAACATTGTAGCTAACACAATGGATGCCCCTTTACATACAAAATTATTGAAAATATGTGATGTCAATAAGAGAGCAGCACACAGGAAACACAAGCCCCGGGAGGTTATCCTGTCTCTGAGGATAGACAACAAACTCTGGGGATACAAGTAGAAGTCAAAGAAAACACCCCTTTACCCTGCCCTAGTAGGTAAACGGGCAGTGCTATTACATTCATGAAATCAGGATCGCAGCCCAGCTGGACTGAAGATGTTGCAAAAGGCTTTGAGTGAGATAAAATTTATTAGACAGGAGGCTAACCTGATAGTTAAGGTTAGTCTCTAGAAAATGGGCAATGATTTTGTTTCCAGTTTCCTTACTCATGATCACTTGAATCTTGGCACTTTGATAGTAAATGCATTGCTGTTTTCACTATCAATGTATCTCAGTGCAGTGGTGTGAAGCAACGTGCTGGGCCTGAGCTGAATCGTACACGCTGGTGTGCGTACTGTTCCTTTGGGGATGGCAGACCTGGTGTTTTCGGGAGTGTTCAATGGAGAAGGGGCTGAATGCTATGGGGAAACGCTTCAAAGGGGCTCGGGGGCTGGGGCACACCTAATGTTAACCTGCAAGGCAAAGCTATGGCTGGCATAGCCCAGAGCAGAGGGCTTGGGTGGCGATCAGGCTGGGGATGTGAGGGAGCAGACACCCAGTTACACACAAGCAAGACTCTCTCATGCTGGCAGCAGGAGGGTAACAAGGTGACTCCCAGACCTAGCTACCCCGAGGATCATCACAGGCTATCATCCAAAATCTTTTGAGGGTTTCACACCCAAGCCCAGCCCTAGAACTTAGTGACACCTCCCCCGCACCCAGAACCTGGGCTCCCCAGGCTGGGATGGGAAGGGGCTACCTGGACCCCACCGAGACAACGCAGGTTGGAGACCCATGCTGATACCAGGGTGCAAAGACCATTCCATGCTGCTGGCTGTGAGGGGGAGCCAGGCGAGTTGGGAAAGATTTTGTCCCAAAGGGACTAATCCAAATGGTGCTGAGACCATGACAATGGGGAGTGGGCAGAGTAAGGGAAGCTCAGCAAACGTCGGCAGGGTCACACCAGTTACCATCATCATTGCCGGGGACAGGAACATCCAGCAGGCTTTAAAGTACAGCCCTGGTTGGAAGCCCAGCATCATGTGAATATCCCGGCAGAACCGCTTCATGCCTAGAGAAAGGAGGAGGAGATGGCATCAGAAACCAGCCAGCAACTCTAGCTGGGGGTTCTCCTGGCGAATCCCTTGGCTCCAGAGAGGCACCCCACCAGCTGTGTGAGCTCAGGGATTGGGCTGTCAGCCACGGGGGGCAGAGAGAGCCAGGAGAACAACGGATGTGTTGTTTCTCCTTCTGTATCACGTGACTTTCGCTGCTCTGCTATGAGAGCAAGGAAGGGGTCAAACTGAGGTGTCCGCTACCATTGTGATGACGCAAATGTCTCTGGCTTGATCTGGAACTTCCATCCAGCTGCATCGACCCTGGGAAGCAGCAAGAGCCTGGAGCTGAAGTGTCTAGCCCTCTGCCGTGGGGCTCATCTGCACAAGCTGGAAACTAGACCTCCTGCTCCAGTTCAGACGCCCACTGAATGGACAAGTTTCTCCCCCCGCAGCTCTCACTTCCTTGTTCCTCCATAAGCTTTTGCAGGAACCTCTAAATGTCGCACCACTTGCCCTGCTCAGGAGAGTCCATGGAGGCCAGGTCCCCTTACCATAGACACGTGTCACCACCAGGCAGGTTGTAATCACCACCACCATGAGTCCAAACCCAGCACTGTAGTCATCCAGCAGGACTAGCCAGTACATCCCGCCCTGGAGAGAGAGAATGACAAGCAGCCAGACCCTCAGTGGAGGACCCGTTATCACCAGAGCTGGTCAACATGCTCCCACCCTCGCCTTCCGGGATAAATTCTCTTGTGCCCCTTTCCTGGTCACATTTGGGAGGCTGAGTTTTAGGGGCCTGAATATTCGTGGGGAGCGAATGCCAGTGGATCCATCCTGTTTGCACGCTCATCCAATCAGGGGACAGAAGTAATGCCACGCCACATATTAGATCAATTGCAGCTTGGATTGTGAATCTCAAGTATGGAATACTCACAGCAAAATGTTAATAAACATGGGCTCTACCGATTAGATAAATTATTCCCTGCGAATGATTCACTCTGCTCTGAAGTCACCTAGCGTCTCCACTCCCACGGCCCTATCCGGTGGGACGCTCCATCCATTTCTCTTCCCGAGCCCCCTCCCACTCAGTCATAGTCACAAATGATCATGGATCTGATAAACGTCCCCCTGTAAATCCTCAACTAACTGAGCACTCAGACGCCAGTCAAAGTCAACTCTGACAAGCTGGCCTGTGGGAAAGATTGCCTACCTCTGTCGTGAGAATGAGCCCCATCAGGTACATGGCGATACAGATGATGGCTGAGAAAAAAGCCTTCTTGGGCCGCAGGTAATAAGGAAACTCATCTGTCACTGCAGTAACAATGGTCTCCATGAAGGCAAACTGCACATAACGGAAAACAAGCCACCCTAAGCGTGTGTGTCTGTGTGTGTGTCTGTGTGGGGGGGGTTAACGTACAAGGTTCGGCATGCTGTGTCCTTACCTGGCTGTCCAGGCCCAAGGTCAGCAGCATGAAGAAGAAAAGGAAAGACCAGAGTGGAGAAAGAGGAAGCATTGTCATGGCCTGGGGGTACACCACGAAAGCCAAGCCGGGACCTAGGGGACAGGCAGAGGATGGGACAGTGAATGGGATCGTACATCAGACACAGCTGTTACCGCTGGGCAGGGGGAGGCAGTGTACCAGCCCAGGCAGGGTATGGCACCGCTGGGAGAAGGGGGGGCGGGAGAGGTGTCCTACAAGAGCAGACAGGAGGTGTTCCCATGTGTGGGATCGAGCAGAAGCAGGCAGGGGCCAGCACCGTGGGAGGGGGCAGGAATCCAGCCTCAAGGCTTTTTCATGCTATTTTTTTAGATAAAAGGTCACGATTGCCTTTTCTTGATCAACAGGAGTGTCGCGCAGCGCACGGCGGGCAAGGAGAGCCCCCAACAGCGGGCACCTCCCTTCTGCCCGGGAGGTCTCCCCCTGTCACCCACGGCCCCAGGTTTTCAACAGAATTGTACGCTGCCCGCAGCCTGGGAGATGCCCTGGCTGTGGTGGCAACGTCTCCCCAGCAGGGGGCACTGTAGGGGAGGCTACCCAAGGGGGAGCTGCTAAGTCGCTCATGGCTTCACCCGCCTCCCAGTAGGAGGCCCTATAGGGAAGCCCTGGCTGGTGGGAGCTCCCAGCTGGAGGAATTGCAGTAGCCTGCCGATGGAGGAGGTCCCCAGTACCTCAGGTCTCCCCACTCACTGCACGAGCGTCTGCCTCCAAGACCTGGGAGGGAACCAGCGCGGAAACGGAGGTTAGCCCTTTGAGAGGGGAAGCTGACGGATCACAGCCTCCAGGAGCCACTAGAGCGGGACTCTCCTCCCTGCCTAGTTCCTTATCGCCCCGCCAAGGCCCTGAACGAGACAGCTGAGCATGATGAATGCCCCACTCCCCCCAAACCCACTCGTCTGTATCAAGCTGCCATTGCTACAACAGGCAGCGCTGGCTGGTGGAGCTGCGTGGCTTTATTCAGCCTGTTGTCTGTCACCCCACCACCACGCAGCTAACATTCCCCCCTCTGCCAGCCCCGGGTTTGTCCTGGGAACGACATCAGTGCATGCAGGAGCTCCTGGGACGTCTCACTAAGCACCAAGGGACAGGGTTGTCATTCGGCCCATTCCTGTGGGACTTGTCGCAGCAGCTCCTGCCCCGATGCACTGGGGTGGCTCATGTCTCTCGTAAGGATGTTTCCCCCTGGGCCCCCAGTCAGGAATGGGCTTTGCAGAGAGCCTGGAGGAGTGAGAAGCTGGCTCTGATTATTGTTTCAGTGCTCTGGCCTGGTTTTGGAGAGCTAGGCTAGTGCCCACAGCTGCATGCTCAGGCTCTGTGTGTCCTGCTCCATCCCTCCATGTGTCAAGCCTCCCCTCTGTAAGTAACACCATCCCCTCCTTCACCCGTGGCCTCTGGGCAGCGCCTGGTCCCCACCACGCTTGGCAAGGAGAGTCCCAGGGGCTCCCAAGCCATCTCTCCTGCATGGCAGAATGAAGAGCTGGCATCACACCACCAAACCGCCCTTCTCTTCCTCTGGGCATTCCTTGCGTTCTTCTGACACCCGCTGCGGTTTTGTTTCAGTGCCTGGCTCCTCTGGTTCCACGGGTGCCCAGGGAGACATATGTCCCACCTGAGCCCAGATTCCTCCCTGGGGCTCCGTGAGCTGGCTTCAGCTGTTTTATCAACCTAGACCACTTTGTTACAGTCCTACCAGACCAGCTGACACTTGGGCAGCAGCCTGGACTCACTGCAAGGGAAGGAGCAATGGCTCCCTGCACACGGGAAAGGATAAGGGCCTGACGACTGCACCAGAGGAGCTGCTCTGGGGAGTTCTGTCTGCGCTGGGAGCTGGAGAAAGAAAAACGACCCACCAATGGAGGATAATACCACCCACCAATGGAGGATTTTTCCCACCCACCAATGGAGGATTTTTCCCACCCACCAATGGAGGATAATACCACCCACCAATGGAGGATAATACCACCCACCAATGGAGGATAATACCACCCACCTTCATAATGTGCTTTGAACTGCTCCAGTGAATGGCTCTTTATCCATGCAAAGTCTCATGGTTATTATTGTTTTAAACTATCACACCTGAGTCTTATAAAGCACTTATAAGCCCGTCCCTTCTGCATACACACCCCAACCTACATATATCCCCACACACGCATGTATTCACACACACACACACACACACCAAGAAAAGAGGGAAGGAATTATTATTTTTTGGTCTGACCTGCTTTTGCCACTTGGTTAACCGGGATGCCCAGCTCCTGCGACATGTAGCCCAAGACGGAAAAGATGGCAAACCCGGCCAGGATGCTGGTGATGGCATTGCCTAGGGTGACTATAAATGTATCCCTGCAGAACAGACAGCAGCTGATCTGAACGTGTCCCCATTAGAGCCTAAAGAGACTACACTGCTGAGAGCTCGCATGGTTTCCAGAGGAGAGAGAGGAGGCAGCGGCTGACTGGGGAGGGGCACCAAGAAAAGACCCACTTTGGGGGCACAAGCTGGCTTTCTGTGCCGAGCTGAGATGGGTTCCCCAGTTAGAGAGGGGACAGGCTCTTTTCTCTTTGCCAACATCCGCATTCAGGAGCCTGTGGGGAGCTGGACTTACAGAGAAACTAAAAGTGCGGAGGTGACACTGGGCAACTTCCCCACCTGTTTTGGGTTTTTATTACGAATATCAGGGAAAATCAATGGTGGGGGGCAGCAAATTCAGCTGGTTCTCAGCTCAGCTTGGCTGTGAAACACCCCTCTCAGCACTGGACAAGGCAACCCGTTCCTCAGCATCTGCTGGGGGCCAGAACCAGGCTAGGGAAAGCGGCACTCAGTGCCTGGCTCGTGCCAAGAGAAGGGCCCCTCCTGCATGCAGATGAGGATACAGGTGTCTCTCCTTACAGGTTGCCACTGGGCTCCATGCATCCCTATCTTTCTGCTTGTTTCTTGCCTGCTTCCTTCTTCTTATCCACCTTATCCTGACCCATCTGTTCCCTTTAAAGAGACTGTTGGTGCTTACCCGTTGGTGCCCCATGATATGCAGCTTCCATTCCGGGAAGAGAGGTTGTAATAACTCTAAGGACCCAGGTCAGTTTGAACCCCACTGTGAGTGTCACCCCGAGGCTCACCTCCATTTCCTGTGTAAGGACTGGAAACCTACCTGTAAATATTCTGGTGGAAGGTGTTATAAGACGCAAAAGTGAGCAGTCCCCCGAAGCCCACCCCAAGGGAGTAGAAGATCTGCAGAGCTGCCTCTATCCACACCTGGGAGGGGGAAACAAGGAAGAAGAACTCACTGCACCGAAAGGAGTGCAAATCTCAGCTCCACTCTCAAGAAGAGAGTGCTTTCCGGGAGGGATTCCCTCTGCTCCAGATGGACATGCTGACTCCTTTTACTGAGCATATCTCCACTCTTTGTCTGCATCGCCAACACTGATTCCATCCAACACGGGTCTCTTAGAGTCAAGTGAGGGCAGTTCCCATGGTCCTTCGCTTCTGGGCTTCCTTCACAGAGAACTACCAAATGCTCCAGTGGACTCCAGCCCTGACCTGGTGCAACCACCTTGGGCAGGTGTTTGGAGTCCATGCTTGGACTTCTCCACCTGCTCTGAAATGGAGACCCCATCAGATTTGGAAGTACCCACATGGAGGAGGGAATTCAGTCTAGTTGCTTATTGATTACCCTAGGCTGCTCCACCAATGGGCCATCACCCTAAGGGAGGGAGAAGGTAATCAGTCCAGGGGTTTCTGCACTGGCCTCCAACCCAAAAGCCAATGGTGGAGAAGAACTGCATTTGGCCTTTTTGTTCGGGCATGCTTGGGCTTCTCTTAAAGTGCAGGCTGTCCTGGGCTTCCTAACAGCTGCTATTCATGCTGCTGATGTGTTTGCCGTACTTTATGCTGTGCAGTGAGATCCTGGTTGCAGGGATCAGGCTGGAAATGATTTCCTAGGTTTTCTTTTCTACTTTCAAAGGCAGGAAATGATTTTGCATCTTGTTTGCATGCCAGTCAGCTGGTAAGAGTGTTAATTAGAGCCACGAATAACCAGATTGACCTGCCGTGGCATTAAACGTCCTTATACAATGGAAGCTTTTCTTTTACACACATGTCAGATTTGGGGATTTCCCTGTTTCACAGCTCTGCTTTGCTTGTCATCATCACTTGAAAGCAGCGGCCAAAAGACTGGATCCCAGCCTGATCCAGGTAACTGAACCCCACAGTATGTTAAAAGTGCCCTGTCCCCTTCTCACCTTGGAAGACAGCAGGTGATCAAACTGGGGTGTGAGGTAGAACTTGATTCCTATCCAGGCCCCCTCCAGTGTCACACCACGAATGAGCAGCATGATCAGGATGAAGTAAGGGAATGTGGCAGTGATATACACAACCTGCGGGAAGAGCAGATGGATCTGAGTTGAAGCTTCAGCAAGACCTTCCCTTAACCGCACTGACACACAGGGGATCTTTGCCCACTGGACAGTTCCGGAGTCACTTGCAGAAGAGGCGTGCCCTTTGGGGAGCATCTCTGTTCAACTAAAAGTCTGCTTTATCTTGCACCTCACTGCTGTGTGGGTTTATGATGTGGGCAACACAATGTTGGATGGGTCACTGTGGTGTATCCATGCAATTTACTGAGGCACACGGCCATGCTAATTCCATCGGAAGCAGAGTTGTGTCATTAACTACATTCTAGCCCTGAATAGTGGGCAGGCATTTGATGATCTGCAAACTACCACCCTCTCCAAATTGTGCCTATTGATAGCCATTGTATTTAGCAAGAGAGCTAGTTATTCTAATTGATATTTCCAAGATATATATACACAGCCACACACACACAAATACTGTAGATCACGGAAAATGACCACTTAACCTCGCTCGGTTCATTCTCGTGAAGCAAAAGACAGGGGGCTGCAGGAGGAGAATGACTCCTGGTCTTACCTTGCCGGAGGATTTGACTCCCTTGAGGATACAGAGGTACACGATGACCCAGGAGAGCAGGAGACACAGGCATAGATTCCAGCGGATTCGCCCAGGGTCCCCGATCCCAGAGCTCCCTTGGATATGCAGAACATAACGACTAGGGCAAAAGGAGAGCCATTAATAAACAGGTAGCATCCTCCCTTCAGCAATGTGCCAGGGACCAGAGCTCCTGTCTGAGAGCCCGTACTTTACGCTGCAGCACCTTAGAACCTGGATCTAGCTTTGACTCTGACAATAAAAATGATACTGAAAATCCCTTTGCGCAAGGAGAGCCAAGGGTTTGATTCCTTGGCGGGGGGAGTTAATTCCTGACCACACGTTAATGAACTGAGAGGTCCCCAGGGAAAGGCTGGTTTTTAGCTTAATTGTCTCAATCACCACAAATGAACTATTTTGAACATAAGAACGGCCATACTGAGTCAGTCCATCTGGCCCAGTATCTTGTCTTCTGACAGTGGCCAATGTCAGGTGCCCTAGAGGGAATGAACAGAACAGGGAATCATCAAGTGATCTCATCCCATCGTCCATTCCCAGCTTCTGGCAAACAGAGGCTAGGGACGCCATCCCTGCCCATCCTGGCTAATAGCCATTGATGGATCTATGCCTACATAGGCTACATGTTCCATTTTCACAAGTTCGTGTAAATTAACCCTTCTGCTGGGTCACATGATCATTCCGTACCATGGGAGACTCCAACAGGGCCAGAGAGTGCAGAAGTTCTTGACCTCGCAACTGAGAACGTCTCTCCCACACCTGCCCCCTGCCAGAATGGGCACTTAGGGTGGCATGAATTTTCTATGGCATGGTCACCCAAGTGTTTGGACCCTCACTAGCTACCAAGTGCTCTGTGCCTGGCAGGGTGGAACGGGCACATTGTAAAATGACATCCAGGGGTTTTGTACAGCCACAAAAGCTATTCAAATGTCAGCCTTAAAGAGTCAAAGAAGAGAGAGAGAGAGACACACACACACACAAAGAGAATGACTGCGTTTAAAATAGACAGTAGAACCGTCGCTAATGGTCATCCACTAACCAGGGTCACCCATCCTATGTAATGGCTAGTGAAACTTCGGTCCCTGCAAGTGGTTAATCTCGTCTGACCATGCAGCCGCCTGTCAGAACAGCCAGCAACATACCCAGGCATTTGGTGGCTAACAGGTTCCACTGAATCAAAAATACACATGGAACCAAGGCCGATTACACACAGACAGGACCAAACCCAGGCCCCTTTTGCCCATAACCACATGCCCCTTCCACCTAAACTACAGCTTCCTGTATCTGTGAGTAAATGGCAAACTGTTAGATAGTGAAGCCAGCCATGAGAAGGCACCATGATCCCAGGTGCTAAGCTGGCATATAACATATACGACCACTGTCTCATTGCAGCAACGCAGTCCAGGTTGTGCCGACACGCTGGATAGTGCTGATGACAACAGCCGCACGCCTCATCGTGCACTTGGAGAAGGTGGGTGCCCATCAAGCCATAGCGTGTGTGTTGTAGACCCATCGCCATGGTTCCTACACCAGTCTCACTCACTCCAACCCCCACCCTGCTCTGCCACGGTCTCTGGCTAGCCTCCTTACTTCCAGTACTCCTCGCTCGGGCTGACGGTGTTAGTGATGTTGAATGGGATGGCAGCATTCCCTGCCTTGACGACCTGGTGATCCAAGCAGAGGTCGGTGTTCCACCAGTTGCCGCAGTGCTCCCAGGGCAAGTTGCTTGTCAGGGATGCGAAGAGGTAGAAGAGCACGTAAGCAATGATCATGTTATAGTAAATGGCCACCAGAGAGACAATCAGGATCGTGCCCATCCCAACACCTAAGGGAGGGGAGATGTAAACACAGCTCAGTGTGACGGCAAAGAGACACCACCCAGTCATCTCTCCCAGGTGCTGCTTAGCTACTGCGATACTACCAGAGGCATCCTAGGGGCCCAGTCCTTGGTACAAGCAGACCAGCTGTTAGGAATCTAAAATGAACCTTAAACCACAGCCATGAGCTAGATCAAAGCAGAGCTGCTAGGTTATTGTGCAGGAAGGAACAATAACCCACCATAGCGAGGGGGATGTTGCATGAGAACATCAACGATCTGCTAACAGGCTCATTGCTTTCCTGGCTTTTCCTGGCTCAGGCCCAGAGCCGAGAACTCTGCTCCAGCCACATCTGAGCCTTTCCTCCTGAGATCGCTTTGAAAGTCACAGGCACTGGTGCAGAAATGTGATAGATCTATGCAAGGGGGAAGCTGCCTTCCGGTGGAGAGAACTATTCTAGATTCCTGTAGACAAGTGTCAGCCAGAGAGACTCCTTTTCCCTTGTCAGAACTCCCTTTCCAAAGCTTAGCAGTGGATTGGGGGTTTGCACTGGGTGAGAGAAGTAGTGTATATGCGCATACAGACCTTATATAAACTTTAATTATTTTTATATCTTAAATGAGTTTCATCTTGAGCAGTTTTTAAGTAACTTTTCTCTTTCAAGATGAAACTTTCAGAGCAGTGTTTGCCTTATGGCCCAGCCCCTGTATACCCAGATTGTCTTATTTGCATGAAGAATGATGGCATCTGATCATAAGATGTTCACGTTTATTTTTACTTTTGCTGATGGATGGACATTGAGTGGCTGGTTGTTGCCTAGAGTCTTTTCAAGCCATTATTTTTATAGGATTTGGGGTCAAACTTTCCATAAAGTGGTGAAATAATGTCATCGCAAGTTCTTTTCACCCAGCCAAGGCCATGTCAGCCTTCTCAAAAGTAATCGTATGTTCTCTACGTTTGATATTTGAAGGAGTGGAGGGTGGCTGTCACAGACGTACAGCCTCTGTGGTAGGCAAACAGCCTCTGTGGTAGGCAAAGTTTTTTTAAATTGCTGGCTTAAGCAGGACTTTTCTCCAAATTGACACTAGCTAAGCATGATCTAACTCGAACCTGACTGGAGCAAGTTGCATGGCCATGCAAGAATTGAAATTGAAGGAAGGATCTGGCACTGAGGTTGAGGTTCAGTCATTAGATAATAACTTGGTTTCAGTGTCAAAATATTTAAAGAGCTCCAAGTTATAGATTCGATTGACTTTGATGAAGCTCATTAGCTGGGCTTTATAATGAAGTGGACAGTCAGCTCCTTAGATGCTGTCTTAGAATTTAAAAGGGTTGATTACTTGTTGCATTCATCAGATGATTTAACTAAATGATGATTTAATTACAATCCAATATTGAAACTAATGTGTTGCTTTTACCTTGATTTGATGGCTGCATTGCTTTATTCTTAGGTTAGTTTAATATTTGTAACAACAGCTTAGCTGTGGTGATGTCGATATTTATTTTTGTTCAATAGTTGTAATAAAATTTATGAAATTGACACTGAGTCACATTTCTTTCTGGAAGTAACGTGGGTCCAGAGCCCTGGAGGACCTGGGTGGATAGATGCCAGCTAGTCAACCTAAAAGCCTGACGAGCTCCCCCTAATTAGCTTGTAGTTCTCACAATTGCCTTAAAGATCAAAGGATGGCGATGCTAACATGTCTCACCATCAGCCCTCTGTTATGAGGTCAGGAAGAAGGAGAGAAAAGAGAGCAGGGTTGGGGTTCGTCACACACCTTTAAATAGTGGGCTTATCTTCCAGACTGCAAGTGGCCCCAGGCTGGAGAACTGGCCTAGTGAGAGTTCCATGAAGAAGATGGGGATACCACATATTGCCAGCATGATGAAGTAAGGAACAAGGAAAGCTCCTGTAGGGGACAAAAAAGGCAGGGAGGGTGAGCCTGGAGCGCTGGTGCTGGGACAGGAGATCAATACAGTTTTATAAAGCTCCTGAAACATCTCAAAGTGCACAGAGCCAAAGCCTGGAAGGTGATGAGTACCCACCACTCACATTAAAGAGTCAATGAGGGTTGGGATTGCCTAGGGCCTCTCAAGATTTGGCCCTGTATATGTAGGGATCCCTCCCCCCACCACTGCAACACAGTCCTCTCTGCAGCAAAATGCTGTTCCAGCGAGACTAAGCATCAGTTCTTAGGTCAAGGAGTCAACGACTGGGGGAATTTCAGCAGGGAGAATATCATTATTATCTGCTAGAGTATGGTCAGGACCCCAGGGTTAGCACCCCACGAGTGTGAAAAGTTCTGGGAAAGTTATAGTAAGCAAGTAAGTAAGTAAGTCACGGCCTTCATTTTAAATCTCTTCTGCAAAGATGGCATCTCCAACAGCAAGGCACCCCTTGGTGTCATATTCTCGTGCTAGCTGGACACTGACTCAGCAGGATGCTGCCTGCCAAATCATAACCATTTACTGCAGCGTCCGGGAAATTTATTAGAGGTGTTCCAGGACCAGCTCTGACTCTGCTTAGCTTTTGGAATCTGGGGCAATGAGAGCTGGGCAAATAATGCATCAGGAATGGTTTATTTCCTGTCCTTGAACTCTCTGCAAACAGGCTGTCAAATTCTCCAGTTTATTTACTATTCCAAATGACTAGCAAGTATCTCTCTGGAATAATTCTTCATCTGCGGGCTGTTTGCAAATACCCTACTGTGAAGATTTGTGATGATGTGCGGGATGGCCATATCATGATGGATCAGATCCTGGAATGGATGACGCATGTGACCAGACAAAACCCTGAATTTCAGGAGTCAAGTTGGCAATTAGCACTGTTGGTTAGTTATTGCATTGTGAAGAGTGCATGATGTTTGAGGTTTCACCCATATTCAGGCTGGGGTAGCCTGTTCACTGAGACATTTGCAGGGAGCGATTGCACAAAGGGCATGCCTAGATGCTGCAAATTTGTTCCATAAGTGAGATGAATACCCGTGGGAAATGTTTGCCAGGATCTACAGAGGTCTGGATTGGACCAACAGCAATGTGAGGTGGCTTTAGAGGTGGTGCCAAAGACCAGGAGGGACTCATAGCGTTTAAGACTATCAAAGCCCAATCCACATTCCCATTTTAAGGTCTTTGAATAGCAGGCCCCGTGGGGTGCTGTATTGTCACACACAAAGTGGGGGTTCCCAAGCATGCACTGTATATCCTTCTAGGGCATCATCAGATGAAATCATCCTTAGTCCATGGTAAGCCACTCCTGTACTGAGATACCAAGCCTCACAGAAGTGGACTGGTCCACTGAGATAAATCCTAGGCTGTTCCTCCTGACCAGTCTGAAGAGAGACCAGGCAGTTGCAGGGAAATCATCTGAAAGCCAAGAATTTCCAAGTAACTGCAGATTCCCAACCCTGAGAGGGAAGGGGAGAAAGGGACATAAGTGAGGCTTTAGTCCAACATGAGGGGATGGAAGTGGTGCAACTGAACCCATTAAAGAGGGGATGATCGAGCATGTACCTCCCCCATTGGTGTAAGCTCTGTATGGAAACCGCCACACATTCCCCAACCCCACACAGTAGCCAATACAGGAGAGAAGGAAATCCAGCTTCCCGGTCCAGTTCCCTCTCTCTGCTGGGTACTCCATCTCCAGGTCCCCATCTCCTTGGTCGCTGGGGCTCATCAGCAGGTCTGGAATTATGGGCTGACCGAGAAAGAGAAGAAGGGGGAGGAGGGTAAGGGAGTCGGAGAGAAGTAGGCCAGAGAAGGAGAAAGAGAGAATGAATAAACGAGAGGAGAGGAGAGTGCAGGCCGAGACAGGAGAGAGGATGAAACGAGGGAAGAATGACAGAAAGGCAGAAAGGGTTTGTTGTAGAAAGGGAGAAGGTGGAAAGGGAAGAGGTATGAGAAACAAGGTTAGAATTCATGTGGCTGATTCACCAAGACTTTAACCCCAAGGAAGGGTCCCCTAAGAGTCCCCTTATGGTCAGTTCCCAGAGGGCAGGCTGACACAAGTGACTCCAGGAGACCCTTGGCCGTCGTTCAGTCGAATACTATCCCTTCCACGTTTCTTCCCACTCCTGGCTGAGCTAAGGAGTGCCATGGGGACTCTCCTTGGGTGGCCAGAACCATCTCCCAAGCACTATCCTGCCTGCTTTTCCCAACCAGAAAATTCAGAGGTGGTAAAGCCAGAAGAGACAATGATGAACATCTAGTCTGACCTCCTATAGCACAGGCCAGAACATTTAGGAGGACAGAATGAGAAGAATGGTCTCTACATTGCCACAGACTGTCACATACCCACTGAGCCTGTGCTGGTGAGAACTGTGGTTGACCCTGCTTATATCCCCTTGCTACGTGGGACACTCCATGCTAAAAATGCTGTATTTATTTCCCACGCTTTTGGCTTACGGTGACCAGATGTCCTGATTTTATAGGGACAGTCCCGGTTTTTGGGTCTTTTTCTTATATAGGCTCCTATTGCCCTCCCACCCCCATCCCGATTTTTCACACTTGCTGTCTGGTCACCCTATGTTGGCTTGAAGTACAGTGCTTCAGTGATAACCATGTGCCTGGTGCCTAAGATCCCTTCCAGGCTCACAGAATCTGACCCCTGATCCGCAGAGTGCATGCTGCTATCACGTGGCAGGATATTAACCCTTTCCTTTCCCCCAGGATCTCAAAGCTGGGCCACAGCTCAGCAGGATTGTGGGGCAAATCTTAAAACACAGCTAGTTTTGCTCACGCTCTTTGATCTGAAAGTATGATTGGATATTTGGCTTTGCAATGAGATATCCAACCCTTCCTGGTAAGACACGCTTTCCGTAGCCAAAAAGACGGCAGAGCCTTACTTGGGGGATTGGCTAGATCAGGGTTTTCAACCTTTTCTCATTGGCAGACCTTTAAAAAAATTCGAATGGAGGTGCGGACCCCTTCGGCATCTTAGACAAAGTCTGCAGCCCCCAGGGGGTCTGTGGACCACAGGTTGAAAACCACTGGGCTAGAAGATTAAGGCTGGTCCTTACTTTATCTGAAGTCATGCACCCAAATGACCGAACCTCCCTGACACACCATTGCCCGATGAGATCCCTGTACTGGTATGTCCCCAGGCAAGGGCTCTCTGCCACCCACAGGCATCACAGACCAAATGTCACAGGGCCAAAGCCCAGTGACAGAATGAGGGCCTCTCAGCCACTGCTTAGCTGCATGCTGAATATTCTAAGCCCCCAAGCTGCCGCCGTGTATCATGCTCTGACCAGTGCTGTGATGGCAACGAGACAGTGGAGGCAAGTAAGGCGACAGGTGTCATGGGACCACAACAAACTCACTGGCCAATAGAATACACACGGGTCAATGGGATGACGTCCTCCTAGTTCTAGCATTTGTACTAGGCTCTTACAAGAAAGACCCTATAAGGGTTTGGGAAACATCTGTATGAACAGCTGTCACACGGCGGGGAATCTGCAGGGGGCACCTGGTCTGTAGTTCCATGTTTTCTGCACAGGGATGGAGATGGCAGAAGACCCAGCTGCAGCTGTAGAGTCCCTTTTGGTCTGCACCCCAGAAAAAAAAACAGACCAGCAACTAAAACGTGACTGGAAAGCCCAGTGCTGACCGTGCCGCTGACCCGCCTTGCCAAACCCGCCCAGCACTCAGACAGCTGCCGTCCCAGCAGGTGAAATGCTGGTGAAGCCTCCCCTGCCTGTCCTCCGGCCCCCTCTTCCACTTCTCTCCCTCTCTTGCGGCTGAGCTAGGGCTGCAAAATTCCTGCTGCTCAGTTTCCATGGAGACGAGGAGTTGTTCGAATGGAGAACGCATGTGTGATGTTTAGCCAATCTGATCATTAAACACAGACCTGCCTGGGACGTGGGGGTTTGCCCAGATGGTTACACACCTATATGCCTCATGCCTGCCTAACATTTACATCCATGCATGCACACATAGACATACTTACACATGGGCACACATCATGCACACACATCCACACGCCTGCGTACCCATGTGCAAATACACACACCCACATTCTGGCAAGCTTGGAAAGAATATCAACCTAATACATAGCAGCAGCGTCCAGCAGTTTGGACAGAATTCTTCTAAAGTCTCAACAAAAAATCCAGCCTGAAGAATCTAGACTGAGACCAAAATAGTATCACTAAAAAAAAAAATAAAAAAATGCAATGATCATTGAAGACACCATTAAAAACCTACCAGTCCCTGCTGGATGCCCCTATAACAATACAAGGGCTAAATGAAAACCTCCAAAAATTCAAACTCAGAATATCATGCAGCCCTGTTAGTACATCAGATGAGTGGCTTGAACGCAGCACTGACCACATCAAGGAAGCCTTTCTGAAGCAGTTTCATTTGGCTCTCCAGTTCAGAGACTTCCCTGAGGTATGGTCACAGACTAATTGCCCCAATACACATAAGCAGTGGTGACTTTCACTCACAGAAGCACCTGGGTTTGCCGTAACACCAGCAAATTATTCTGTAGCCTCCTTAATGAAAGACTTGACCACTAACGAAGTCAGCCAGGAGGGTCGAGCTGGATTCCTCACTGAGAACCAACCTCCCCCTCCCCCAACCCCATCCTTACCACCCAGAGAGCACGTTCACAGATGTGTGGACTGGTAACCAGACAAGGGATCTGTCTGCTGTGGAAGTTTTTAACAAGCTTTTGACTCAACCTGGTGCAGAGGGCTGAACCTTAAAACGGGAAGGAAAGGGAACGAGTGCCGCAATGTATGACCCTGTTAAATCCATAGACCAATCATCAAACATAACTTAAAAATAAACAGCACAAGATACGGAAGCCCTTTAAGCAAGAAAAGGCAGCAAAACAACCGAGTCACCTCAGGCTGCCCTTTTCCATCACGAATGAGCTTGGCACTCCCACCAAAAACCACAGTGGCAGGCAGGTGATCCGCTAGCACCTCTGCAAGACAGTCGCCAAAGGCATTCCATATGACAGCTGCCACCAAGCTAAGTTTGACACTTGCCCAGTCCAGAATCAGTGACTGCACACAGAAGTGGAAGCCAGGGGAAAGCAAAGCAATGCTGGCCCCCCCAGTGAGCAGTGACTGCGAGCAACCTGGGGTGGAGATGAACTCTCTACTGTCATACACAAAATGCCAGGGAGTGGGAGAAAGAGATTCCCTCACATTATTGCAAATAAGAAGCACATTAAAAAACAATGAGGAAAAACGATGCCTAAGAATGGAGAGACCTGGCAGAGCTGGCGTCAGGGGACAGAACAACCTGCCACCGGGTCAAGGATGACCAATGGACCTAGGGGTTCAAATCTTCATAATCCTGTGAAGCTCCATCTGGGGTAGACTGTACCTACTTGTAACAGCGGCTGGAGGGTCTTTGGCAACACGTGTATTCGGCACCGTTAGTGAAATTCAATAGTGACACTAAATCTACACTGTCTGGGGAAAGCTGGGGTTCATCAAACATTGGACCCGCTTCACACAAGGACTTTCATGAGCTGTGGGGCCCAACCGTGCATAGCACAGGGGCGTGGTGTTGCATATGTGAGTATACACCGTAAGGAGCGCTGAGGGGGCCGGGGAGTGCAGCAGGACCTGATCCTGCATCGCAGAGAGCACTGCTGCCCAATGACGCCAGCCTCACAGAAGGAGTGAAGCCGGACGGTTTGCCCCAAAGCCACTGAAATCAGTGGCGGGGCTCCCATTGATATTTGAGCACTGAATCACGCCCAAACAAAGACACCTGTAGCTAAGAACCTTGTGGACATGCTGCGGTGACGATTAAGACTCTTTCTCCTCAGAAATGCCCATTCTCTGCCCAGGCTCAGCCTCTCTCTTATCCTGGCACCTGTGAGTAAGGCACGCAGAGGGGCTCTAGACTTCTTTCTGCTCTGTGCAAAGGGCTACACCTCAGACTTAGCTTTCCTCACACCTTGTGCAGCCTCCACCTGCTCTTGTGCTGGACGGAGCACAGCAGCCTGGCACGTGGGCGGTGAAATACAAGCAGAATGGACACTGACCCGTAGTGCCCCCCGGGAAGTCTTTAAAACAAGACTTGAGCGTAAGAGAGGGGTCAGGACAAGGCTGAACCTCACATCCCAGCCCCCTCTGAACTTCCTGGGACCCACCCCAAATCCCAACCCCCAGCTCTGGTTGTGAATTTTGGGCCCATCTCCAGCAAAACCCAACTCAGACCTTTATGGAAGCACTGGTTAAGGGAAATCGGGTATAAAATCCATCAAGCATGAGAGATGTCTTGTTTTCTGTTACACCTGAACTTCCATCCATTTCGGGAAAAAGACCTTAAACTCCCAACTCATGGATGGAAAGTGGATCAAAATCAGAGGGAAAAGCTCTTGAACTATCCGAGATGTGACCCCCCCAAAGCCAACACTGTGTAAAACCTCTCAGCAATTGTACTGGGCTCCTTGGAGGAAACTTGATTTAAGAGATAATAACAAGTGTTCAAAGGTTCTAGGTGACAATGAGCACATGGGATTGTGGAACGGTTAAAAGGCCTGATCCTGTTATCCCCCTGCCATTAAGTTCCATGAGAGTTTTGCCAGGATAGGGCCCAAAATGTTCTGTAGCAAAACAGCATGAATAATGGGGAAAACAATCCTGGAGACATACATTTTTACTTGAGCTGGTATTTCAGGAACTAAATGTATCCCTGAATCAAAGTTTAAAATTGATCTCTATCAGGCGCAGTGATTGCTCATATGGAGACTTTGGAAGAAGGTAGGAAAAACTTGCCTATATGAACTTTTAATGGATCTGGCAGTCACTTTGTCATCCAAAGCAGTAATTTATGGGAAAGTGAATGAGAGGGAAGAGCCCAGCATAAGCTGGACCCTGCACTGAAACATCAGAGGGAGGGAGGAAACGTAGAAAAACATCCTACATTGTGCTGGGCAGCATAAGAGAAAAAGTGAACTAGGCAGAGACTTACAATGGGCAAAGAATCATGGGTAAGGGGTGATTTTACTTTAGCTCTCTAAACAGATATATATTACACAGATTATTCCAGGGAAACCTGTTGCAGGAGGTCAGACTAGAAGATCATAGTGGTTCCTCTTGTCTGGGAATCCATGAATCCAGGCTCAGTTACAGATGAGAGCAGGAGTTCTCAAATCTTTTCATGGTGTGGCCTACATTTCAATAGTGAGATTATCTCCTAAACCTCTCCCCTCCCATTCACTACAGTACATCCCCACCTTCTCTCCCATTCCCAATCCTGCAATGTCCCTTTGGTAGCTACAGGAAAGAAACATCTGAATGTCTGTCTAACTGTCTTTTAATGTGGATTGGCAGCTAGAAATAAAGAGGAGCCTGAACCGTATGACTAGCTCATGGAGGATCAGTCCATCAAGGGCTATTAGCTGAGATGGTCAGGGATGCAACCCCATGCTCTGGGTGTTCCGAAGCCTCTGACTGCCAGAAGCTGGGAATGGACAACCAGAGATGTATCACTTGATAACTGCCTTGTTCTGTTCATTCCCTCTTCTGAAGCATCTGGCACTGGCCACTGTCAGAGACAGGATCCTGGGCAAGATGGGCCACTGGTTTGACCCAATACGGCCATTCTTATGTTCTTAGCTAGGTAACTGCAGACCATTGGTGGTCAACAGAGCACAGTGTGAGAACCTACATACAAGGCTGTAAATGGCACCTATGGGATGGAACAGTAACGGTAGTAGGTGTAAATAGAGAGAGAGAGGTATGGAAAGAGAGTGTTTATACCTCATTCATTTACAGAGAGGGGAATTTAATTTTCAGGAGATTGAACTGTCATTATTTGAGACAAAATCACTGACAAAATAATTATATATATTGAACAATAAGCAAGCCTTCCACGAGAGCAGCGAGAGACAGGGCCAAAGCAGCCAAGGCTGGTAGAGTGACCGTATGTCTTGGTTTTACTAGGGCAGTCCTGGTTGTTCATACCATGTCCCGGTGTCTTAGGAACTTCTTTCATCATACCTGAAATGTCCCACGTTTTCGTTTCAGCCATCAGGCTGCTTGGACTTTTAAGAACTACAGAATATGTGGTCAAGACCAAGCTGGAATCCAGTCTAATAGGAAGAGTCGGGCGGCATGAGCACCCAAATGGGAGAAGGGAGAAGTTGAGCAGGCGTTCACGACACTTGTAACACGTTTTGTGATACGCTCAGACAGGCACTATGCCGAGCGCTATTCTAGCAGGAGCAACCCCAGCCCCCACTTCTTAATGAAGCGCACTCTTCTCTTTTAAATGAGCGTTGGGGGTCTGGCGGGAGATTGGGGAGCAGGGCGCCGTGGCAGAGAGAAGGGCTTGGTGCAGGTGGAAAAGCTCCACACGTGCTGGAGAACAAACAGAGTGCTGGAGAAGAGAGAGAGCCCAGAAGCAAGAGGAAGAGGGTCAAGAGGAGAGACAGAGTCTGCGAAAGCAGGGCCTGAAAGCAGAGGTTTAATAGTAGGTTCCTAGGCTGAGAGTTCCAAAGGGGCCGGAGAGGGAGCGGAGTGCCCAGCACCTGTGGGATGACAGACCCCCTCAAGGCCCTCTGAACTCCCATCTTATGTGAAGAAAACTCCCTTCATGAGACCCAGTGTAGCCAGGCATTAGGGCTCAGTCCTGTCTGGAAGCAAAGGGAGAGATGGGTGGGAGAGTGCCCCAGTCACATTCGCTCCATTGTTTGGTCCCCTCGCGAGGCAGAGGAAGAGAGGCAAGTGGAGGGGAAAGGGGAGTTTTCTGGGGGTTGAAAGGTCTCTGAGAAAGGGGGGTGCTTTGGTAAGGGCGGGAGGGGCCACGCGAGCTGAGGGGGGATTTAAAGATGAGACGGGGTGAGACAATACCCGCTTTATTTGAAACTATTCTGTAAAGAGCCTCTCAGCATTCTCCATGTCTTGTTAGCTGGATTGTTTAAAGAATCCCACCGGTTTCCCTTAAGGTCTCCAGATGTTCCCCATACAACCTGGGAATCGCAAAGAAACCTGCATCCGACTGGCTGTGAGGCTTCAGTGCCCAGGCAAGGGAGCTATGGAACCTGACAGGAATAAGCCAAAGGGGTGACATTTCCTACCGGGGTGACGTTTCCCTTTCCTACCGGGGTGATATTTCACCTCAGCTGCCAGGCTCTCATCCAGGGCAAATGGAACATTTGTGCCCCTTTGTGGTCCTGCCCCTGTCTGGGAGGGGAACACCACTCCCAAGAACTAGACTTTGGGCCGGGGGGAGTCTCTTTATCAGCCAAAAGTCCAGCTGCTGGCAACTGAGGCAGGGGAGCTGGCTGGGACATGCCAGGGAGAGGACCAGTGCCTGGTCTGGGGAGGATCAAACTGCTTCCTGTCCGCTGGCCAGTCTGCTAATCCCAACAAAAGATCACTCGGGCCCTACTCCCTCCCCAGAGCACCTGTGCCCGCCCCACATCCGCTGCACCTGTCCCACCTTGGGTGTGATGCCAGGCATGCAAACCACCCAACGCCTCGAGGAACAGCATGTTCCACCTGAGCACCCGCCCCGACACAACATGAACCATCCCGACGGAAACACCTGCTCGCTAGGAAAAGCATCTCCACGACGAGGCTGGCGGGCGAACGTGGGACCAGCCAATTAGCTGCACAGCGCCGGGCGTCGCTATTTACTGAACTTGCTAATTAAAGAGAGCGAGAAGAGCTCGTTACGAAATGACAGCCACCCACCTACTTAATCTGCTACTGAGCCAGCTTTGGCTCCCCAAAACAGAAAACTCTGCTCTTCCCAGGTGCAACGAATGACCGTTAATAAGTACCCGAAACAACCCCCCTACCCCAGGGGGAGAGGAGATGGAGGTACTGTGAGGCTGAACGTTAGTCCCCTCGACCTGCCTGGTTTGCATTAAAAAGGCATCCCCATGCTGGTCAGCCCTGCAGCTTTCCCCCTCCTCTCCTTCCCTGGCATCTCATTCTGTGTGGTTACAGATTGCTGCTTCCTACCTCCCGGAGATGGTGCTCCTGGACCTTCTTCATCTCTGAAGCACTGCTGCGATGCTTCCCCTGCCTCTCCGCGCTCTGACACCTTCGCTCGCCTCGGAGACCGTCTCTACGGCGATGGGGAGGGAGACGAGTCCGAAAAAGAAAAGGAAGAATCCCACTTCTCGCTCTCCGGCTCTCTCCTCCTCGGCTGGGTGTTCCTGGCACAGGCAGAGGAGATGTTAACCCTGTCTAGAATGAGGCAGAATGAGAGAGGGATGCCAGGCAGGCAGGGTGCAACCATAAGGGTTGGCAAACAGGTTTGCTCTGAGTTGGAAATCGCTGGGTGGGGAGCAGCAAGTGGGAAGAGGAGGGATCCCAGCAGGCTGCAGATGGGCTCTCCATCAAAAGGGTTTCTGCCATCTGCGGGGTCTGTGGGCTGAGTCCTGCTTCGGGAAAACAATGAGTTCCAATGAGGACAACCCCGGTGGCTCAGGGACTGGAGATCCTCAGTAACCCAGTGAGGGAATGCTCATTGGGTGGGAATAAGGAGGAGACCAGAGCTGCATCACATGTGGAATGAGTGTGCTGGATCTCATTGTGGTCCATCCCGGTCATGGATCCGGCTGGCAATCTGCCAATGCTGGCCACCTATGCCCGAAAGTGGCCCGGGATTGGATCAGCAGGCCATGTCACAGGTGAGGTTTGAGGTGGATGAGCTGTGGGGGGCACTGGAATAGCGGGGCACAGTAAGACGGGGCGGAAATGCTGCGGGGGGGGCGGGGGGGGCAGGACTTTAATAACAGGGTGTGCTGCTGGTAAGGGTCGAGCGTATCAGCAGATACAATGGGATCAAGCCACTAAGAGTCGGCCTAGATATCCAGAGAGACTAGACTCATGGGGATCATCCAATCCGCACTGACTGGGCCCTTCTTTATGCAGGCCCTGCGATAGCCCATGCAGAAGGCACCCCAGGGTTCTCCAAACATCCTGTAAGAGATGGGTTCTGAGACAGGGAACCCCGAAGCACAGCTGTAAATGTCAGACACTGGCGAGTACCCCAGCAGCCTCCCTGGACAGCGCGACAGCCCAGCAACATACAACAGGGTTAGTGTGTCTGTCTGGGAGCAAGAGCTGATTCCCCAGCAGGAGAGGGGAACATGTGAGGGAAGTCCCTCTTTCTGGTCGTAGAGCTGTCGGCCAGCATGCAGGTGCAGGACAGAAAACCAGACGTGTCACGCTGCACCTCCCGGTTCATTCCTGCCCGTATTTATTTCCCTTCCCCCAAAGAGACATTGCCACGGGAGCCATCGCCTGCAGCAGCCGGCGCTCCAGGGAACAGTGCTAGGACAGGGGCTCTCAAACATTCTCATAGCGCAGAGCACCTCTTCCTAGAGAGATGGGCTCCCAGACATCTCCCCTCCTGCCATGTCCCTGGGATAACTACACCAACTGCCAACCCACAAAAGGAACCTGAGGGACCATCAGCAGCTGGAAATAAGGAGGAGAACATGCCTCATTTACTTATTGGCTTTTCTCTGGTGCAAATTACTGGAATCTGAACATCTCACATATGCTAATGAACTAATCCTCAGAGCACCCACGCCCGATGAAGAAGTATTATGACACCCTTATTCTGGGGAAACTGAGGCACAAAGTGGTTAACTGATTTGCCCAAGGTCCCAGAGGTCTGATGCAGTGCTAGGAACAAACCTCAGATCTCCTGAGTTCCAGCCCAGTGCCTTAACCACAAGCCCATCCTTCCTCCCACGCAATTAGTCAGCTCTCCAGGAACCACCTGCAAGGGTTGCATAAATCATCATTTGTCCCTGGATCACAGCTGAACACCTGCTAAGCTAATGGGCTGATGCTGTGACTTCCTGAGGCAGGACTCTGGGCACTGGCATCATACTGCGGTGGCAATTTCCCAGTTGCACAGAATCTAAGACTGCATGCACATAGGCACCGGGAGCCCATTCCTTACCTCCTGCTTCCAGAGCAAGAAAATCTTTAACATCCCCAACTCTGTGTTCCAGCCTGAGACCCCAGCACAAACCGAGGCTGCAGTGAGACACAGAGGGACAGTGCTGGGATGTCGGGGAAAGATCCCCCCCCCCGGGGCACAGGCGACATCCCCCCATCCCCAGGCTGGGGCATGAGAACGACCCAAGCAGAGGCAGCTCCCAGAGAATCCATCCCAGAAGCTCTGAACGGTGGGGGAGAGCTCTTTACTTGATCTCCAGCAGACAAGCAGCCATGACCGAGGTGCCCGACAAAGCTGCCTGGAGTCTGTGTGCTTAGTGAAGGCTCCCAGTAACCTCAGCCTTAGGCCCCCGTCTGCACAGAACTGGGCTAGCGCTCAGCTGTGCCTCCCGGTTCTATCGCGCGTTGGCCCCGTCCGCACTGACCAGTCACAGCAGGTTAGAAATGAGTTCCAGACACAGGCCCCCACCCGAGGGGGGCCAGGGGACCCTCATACCCACAGGCCAACCAGACTCCCCCTAACATGGAAGGGCTACAGAGAATATGTCTCTTTCCCTGCGGTCCCCATCCTCCAGTGAGAGACCCTGCTGGGCCGTGGGCTCTCTGAGGAGCGGGGGATGTTGCTGCATACCTCAGCTGGTCTGGACACCATGATCCTGCCCACTCCACCCCTCGCCCTGTAAAATCCGACGGATCAGATCAGATCTGGGCTCCTTCTCTCTCCCTTTCCCCTCCCTCCATCGTGGCTCTGCTGCTGTCATTCTCTCCCCCTCCTGTCTTGCTTTCCTCCCTTCCCTTCTCCTCCTCCCCTTTAGCCCTCCTCCGGGTGGGAGCTGGTTTCCAGCCCTGCTCTGCCCAGGGGAGTTGGGATGATGGGCTTTGGCGGCTGCCATTCCTACAGGGGTCTCTGCACAAGGCCCAAACCTGGTGTCCCTGCTCCCCCTGCTGGCGGAGCTCTGCAGCAGGCCCAGTTCGGAGAATTCTTGCAGCATGGGAGCAATAGAAATAATTAACTGGCGGGAAGGGTTGATTTTAAGAGGGGGAGCCGCTCCCTGGTGGTTAGGGCTGTCAGGGGCAGGAGCAAACCCCAGGGAGGGAGAGGGGTTATTTAGGGTGGCACGCAGGGGTATAGTTCGGGCGACATGTAGCAAGCAGCGATGTAGGCGGGTGCTCAGCGGGGACCTGCTGGCAGTGAGCTGTACCAGGCTGAGCCATACGATCTCCAGCGAAGCGCTGGGACATTGGGATATTTTAGGACATCGGCCCCTTGCTTGGGGCATTTTGCTCCCAAGCAGGCGAAGCGATGGACAATGCAAGGACCAGCTCTGTATTGGGAGGGGACCAGCTCCCCTCAGCAGGGCTTGCCCAGCTCTTATCGCTCTGTTTCAAGAGCGAGAAGCAGGAATCCGCACAGTAAGGAACTGGGCCGCTCTCTCTTCCGTCAGGGCTTGCTCTGCTTTTTGTTAGAAGCCCAGGAGGAGGAATGGGCAGAGACTTCTTCAGCCCAGACGTCTCTGGGGCATTTAACAGACCAGCTGCAGATTTGAGGGACGGGCGGGAGGTGCATCTGGAAGGACTTGTTGAGACTGGAGAATAATACCCGACAGTGCTGAGCGTGAGCCCGGCATGGCCATTGTAACAGTGGGTAGGGTGAGCCAATGGCCTGAGTTACTGGTAAGACCCCACTTTTATGGAGTATCCCAGTGAATTATAACCGTGCTGGTATCTTATCCCATGGTGTCTTATCCCACCCACACTCACTGCTGCAAAGTAACCCTGGAACCCCAGTGGAAGGGCCTTCGGGCTGGGCCCCTGAGTGGCATTTCCCTTTCGCGCTGGTCCCGTTGCTCTCTTCTAATCCACGCGTCTCTTCAGCCAGGCTTCTCTGAGTTATGGGGAGCAGACGCCAGGGGGAGGCTGCTTGAGCTGTCATTGGCCACAGGCAAAGCACAGTTCACATTCCCAGGTACTTGGAAATCCCTGCTGGCTACTTAGTGGGACCAGGTGTCCCTGAAACCCAAGGATGTCCCTGTTTTCCTCCCATCATGTTGAGCCAAATCCACAGGGGGCTGAGGAGGACAGTTGCTTGACTGAGGAGAGGAAGAAGTGGGTCCCCTTCTCTGTCTCAGCCTCCCTGATGGCCACCAGAACCATCTCCAGCGCACTATCTCCCCCTCTCCAGGATAGCTGTCCTGGTTTGCCCTGTTAGAGGCAGGTAAGTGCCACATCCCTGAGGCTAATGAAATCTGGCCTTTGTTTTCTGCTCTCCCTCCCCTGCCCCCGGAGCTGGGTTCTACATGTGCCCTCTGCACGACAGGGGGCGTGTTACAGGCCAGGACATCATAGAGCGAATGGCTGAGAAATCCCTACAATGTGCCAGCCCTTGGGGGAATTAACTTGAGGACCCCTCTGAACATCACTGAACTCCTCTGTCAGAGCTCTAGGCATGAGGGGGCAGGACCATCAGAGCACGGTGGCTTCACAGACATGGGTAAAGATTCCAGGGTAGGTCCCGTTTCCCCCCCCCCCCCCCCCCCAAGTACCTTGTCAAACATGATCTGTCCAATACAGGGCCTGGCAGCCATGCTGCAGTGGCTGCTAATCTAATGGGAACGTCCCCAAGAGCCGCTGAAGCCATGATATCTGCCTCCTGCAATCTGACACTCCATGTCTGTGTGTGAGAGCAACTTTGCCCATAGCCGGCTGCAGCAGCGTCTGTCCTCAGATGGCAGGAGCATTGGTCTTGCAGTAATGCCCAAAGGTTCCAGTCAGGATCATTACGGCTATAATACTTTGCGTACAGCATCCACAGATCTCAGTGTGAGTTATGAACACCCATTAGCTAAGCCACACGACACCCCAGGCAGGGAGATCGCCACCATGGGTTGGTCTAGGACTCTAGATATATTTAATTCAGTCTCAGCATGGGATGGGATGGATGAGATGGCCTCTTGAGGTTCCATCTAGCCCTACATTTCTGTAATTATCCCCATTTTACCAGTGGGAAAACTGAGGCATGGTGCAGTGAAGTGACAGCAAGTCAGTGGCCAAATCTGGAGTGGGATCTTAGAGTTCTGACGCCCAGTGCCCTGCTCTAATCTGGGCCACAGATGGGCTCCTGTGGAGGGGAAGCAACTACAGGCACTCCTTAGGGAAAGACGGAGCAGCTCCTAGAGAAGGAAATAGTCCCTGGGGCTGGTGGTGCCCCCGGAGCTGGGATCCAGTTTTGGGAAGGGCCTCACGCAGGCAGAAGCAAGGTGTCTGCACTTCCAGGAGCTCTCACACCTCCTTGGCACTCTCAACCCAAGAGAGCAGGGGGTCTGCGGCTTCAGGGACTGTCTAACGGGATGCCGGCCCGGTGAGCATGTTAAAGACATGGAAGCCACCGCCAGTGAACAAGGACAGCTTGATGCCACCTGGCTGCAGTGCCGCAGCCGACGTGCTGTTTCTGAACTGATGAGAGCAAAGAG